AGAGAGAGAGAGAGAGAGAGAGAGAGAGAGAGAGAGAGAGAGAGAGAGAGAGAGAAAGAGAAAGAGAGAGAGAGTCGCCGGCATGTTTGTGTGTGACACTCTGTGTGCATGCTGTGTTCGTGTGTGAATTCGGGAGCCAGATTGCCGCGCACATGGGCCTGGGTATTCCGCAAGTTGCCCGCCCGGTAGAGAGGGTAAACCGGGTAAAAATGCATGCAGGCCCAGGCCTCAACGGCAAGTTCCAGATTGCAAATTTGCACACCGGCCTGGCAGGGGCATATCACAAAGAGTTCGGGTCAAAAAGGCATTCCGCTCCATCCACATCTTTTAGGGGGATTCTGGCATACCTCATCTTTGGGGTGTATCGCAAATTTTCCTGTCAAAACAATAATGGTGACTTGCCGGCGGAATTGGAACCGGACTGCTGCTCCCCAGAATAGAAGGAGCCTTGTTTTTTTAACAAAAAAAAAAGGTGCAAATGTGACGCATATTCATGCCGGTGCCAGACCCAACACGCACTGTTGACCGGTAGTCCAGGGTGGGCAAAATGTGCCGAACTCCAAGCTTGAGAAAACGAGGCTCTCGGGGATACTGGTGGTTTAAACCAGGCCCAGAAAGCCGTACTTTGTTGACGGCTATGCTAAATAGTAAATCCTGAAAAAATTGTGAAAACCACTATTATGGAAAAAGTTCACAAAACAGTAAATACCATACTTGCAACTGCACATGTGTGCTGTGTGCGTGCACCACGGTGTGCGGTGAGGTGCATAAAAACTAGGCGTGGGTCCGTGCGACATAAAAAGACAAGAGGGGGATCGGAAAAAAATCAATTCTTTAAATTCAAAGAATATGATTTTGACTCTTTGAGGGATTGTCGCAGCCCAAGTTGCCCATGGTAACGTTTTTTTATTTTTTTATTTTTTTTATGCTGATTGGAGCGAAGTGTGAAGGAATTGCCGTGTCCGTGAGGTGTTGAGTGTGGTGTGTGTTGAGTTGGACACGACAGCCTTGCCGGGGTGGCGTGGTTCCTTCCACTTTTGGAGACCGTGTCCTAGCTGTAGTGGTTAAGAGACTTGGCTCTTGAGTTTAAGGTCACCGGTTCAATCCTGTGCTTGCACGGAGGAGGTCTTTGATCCAGATGTACAGATCCATAAGCGAAGTTGGGCTCCAACAGACCTACTTTGTTGATTTCCCAGTAGGAAATCCGGGGCCCAGTGCAAAAGAGGTTTTTTAAACCTTTTTTGTTTGTTTGTTTCGTTTTCCAGCACCGGCCGGCAGCGAAATGGGAAGAGCCACCCGCAAGTGGATGAGCTTGATTGGGGCCACGTAAGTCGTTCCCTTAACTAAACGTCGGAAACACCCTACCCTTCTGCAAAGTTTTCCTCCTGGGGGTGTGCGGTGCAGAAGTGGCCAGGCTCCGCCATCTGATCTGGTAATGCTCCTGAGACGACGACGGTGGCAGAGCGATTTTTCCGAAATACGAACGGAATTTGTGGGCTGTGGAGCCTCAAGAATTAGTATAGGAAAGTACCGGATCCGCGGGGAAATTCGGTACTTACTACTTAGTTCAAGTTACCAAATTTCCCCCCGATCAGTTCTTTGGAGCACACGCCATGCAGCGAGCATGTGCGGTGCGGCAGCACACCGGTGTGTGCACGGTGTGTGCATGCAAGTATGCTATATACTTCTTAAGTTACAACTAATACAAAGTTATAACAATCGATGCCGATCAGAGGCACTGTAGATTATGTGGGAATGGTGTGCAAAATTGCAAACAGAGTCAGTGAAACCTCACCATGGTTGAAAGAGCGATTGCTGCATAATCACACCAGCGGAAAAATCCGCGTAACCTCCCCCTTGAAATATGGTATACACTCGATGCGACTCCTACTCCAATTACTGACTTGCCATACATTCTTAAACTTTCCTTCGTTTTTCTGCAAAGAAAAGACACAAAAGAAAACAAGACAAACAAAATTGCACAACAAGAACATGCCCGATAAACAATGTCAGCATTAGAAAATATAAGAATTTACAATCTCTATCAAGTTTCAACTCCCCCCCCAAGCTCTCCTGAGTCCACTGGCAATAAGCGATATTTAGAAATCAGAAAACATAAACAAAAATGGCGAGGTCTTTCTTAGTTGGAAATTTGGAATCCACTTGCAAACATGTGGACTCCTTAAGCCGCTAGTATACGACCCCAGCCTTGCTGAAAAAAAGAAACTCGTCGCCTACGAGATGCCATCTGCCACGGTTTAATAAATATTGAGTGGCAGCTTCAAAGATGAGAGCCAAATTGAGCAAAAAAGCAGGTACTTCACGATATTGCACAAGGTCTAGGTTAAGGCTACCACACACTTGCTTCATAGCTTTCAATTGAGCTGCAGAACGTACACGACCTTCTGAGTCAGTTGGCTGTCATATGCTGACTCTCTGTCACATGCTGATCGCAGACCATGAAATATATTTCTCGGCTTATGCGGGTCATCCTTGCGTAGGGCTTCTAGGCTCTAGCCTTAGTTTTTACTGCATTGTTTTTCAAGGACTGGAATATGTAGAAGCTCCTTTTACCATTTCTGATCTAGGCTACCAGCCAGGCCGCCCGGGTCACCCTATTTTCCCGGGCGGCCCGGCCATGCAAGGACTAGGGAAGGTCCCAGCCCCCCCCCCAAAAAAAAAAAAAAAAAAAAATCCGAAAAAAAATTATGTTACGCAGAAAAATAAACTGAACAACTTTTGCCTCAGGGTCACATCGAAATTCTTTATCGGACTTAAAATAAAAATTTTAATTAAAAAAATATATATATTTTTTTATTTTTTATTTTTTTTATTTTTTTTTATTTCTTTTTGGCCCGGCTGGGCAAATGGACCCGGGCCACTCTGGTAGCCTAGTTTCTGATGGGATATATGGCTCTACCATGTCTACGTTCTTTCCATGCTAATTACCCTTCTCTGTATCGTTCCAATTTTAACGGATGTCCCGAAGAGGTGATCATGAAATATAGTCAGGTGCTGAAGTGGCCATTGCCAGTCAACTGACTGAAGACAAAATGCTGACCATTGAAAGAAAGAGCTGTCCTGCGCAATTGTTGCAAATCCTGAAATAAAAACTGAGGCAACAAGGAGCCAGGACCATAAGGACCTGTTTGGAGGGGGAAAAAAAAAAAAAAGAAAAAAAAAAGGTTACAAAACTGAGGCAACTGCTGAAATGGCGATGGGGTACTTTGTGGCATCCGTTCAAACTTAAAACTGGAATGATACAGAGAAGATAAGACTGGAGACCCCTGAGAAACAGGTAGGAGTGTATGCTCTTATCATCACTCCCATCTGCTATCACAGGTGGTTTAATAAAAGAAAAAAAAGCATGGCCCGCGCACAAGGATGACAAACATTGATTGAGAAGTGGAACAAATTTTGATTGATGGGCCTAGCTCAGTTGGGACACCCACGACCTGTTGAAATACAGACCCGAGTTTGACTTCGGACAACCACATGAACAAATTTAACAAAATAAAATAATTGAATTATAATCCTGCATTTCCTGGGGCCGATGGTAACTCAAGGCCGTTGCCCTTTTTAAGAAAAAAACTTCAAAAAAGGAAAAAGGAAAAAAGAAAAAATGGCAATGAATAGTCAATGGATTAGTGGCCAGCTGCTGACCGCTCCGTGGGGGGTGTAGTTCAAGTGGCACTCACTGTCTATAACACACATAAAATCATAAAGCCAAGGAGACCATAGCAGTGGAAGTTAAGATGGAGTTAAGATGTGATCTGGAAGACTGGATCATTTGGGAAGTGTTACACACTTAGGAGCAGGCCCTGCTGGTGATATGTTCATGCTTGGGAAGAATGAACATTGCCAGAATGGTGGCCAGGTTCGCACTTTCCTAGCATGAACCTCGCGGAGCCTGACTCTTAGCCAATTAAAGCTAATGAGACTGGGCATGAGCAGTGAGCACTGAGCACACGATTTGCGGGCATCATGTACATACTCGAGGCTCTGATATATAAGGCTTTGAGTTTTCAGACAATCTCCGCTGTGTTCTCGTATCGTGCGGGATCGTGCGGGATTGCATCTCATGTCGGAAGTTCTGTGTGTTGAGGTGTGAGCTCGCGATGTGTTGTGAAAAGCAGTGCGAATTTGTGAGATCATAACAAACTAGTGCACTGCACATGTGTGGCGACAAGCATGCTTCTTACACCTGGAAGCGAGGAGGGGGAGGAGGAGGAGGAGGAGGAGCTTAGGAGGAAGGAGAGGAGGTTCCTTACAATTTAGGTGTGCTCATGGCCATCCGATGAGTGTTTAGACCAATTACAATGAAAGGTACAGACGTCAAAACATTCGCCACCGTCTCCAGTGCTGTATGGTCACCTACAAGAGACAAGTCACAAGTATGATCTATCATCAATACACAACATCACGCAAGTTGGATGACAAATGTGACAACAGTAAAGGGCAGACTCACACTACCGGTAGGCACTCAAGACTCCAGAATGGCAAAATCAGCGGTCAGATCCAGTCCTCCTCAAAGAAGAACTTGATCTAGGCGCTCATTTTGCTATACTGTGATTTTGAGGGTCTAATGTGAGCATACTCTAAGCCATCTAGGGAAGAACTGTGCTCCCTACCGGCATATACAACCAAGCAAATGTGTCTGTACATCAACCCAAAGTATGCCCAACTTCTGTGATAAAGACAGGCCTAGCATAGGCAAAATGAAAAGCCACAAAACGGCTGAGGGGGAATGAAGCAGGCACATGAGCAAACAGATGTAAGACAACCTGAATTACACCACCAGTACCTTTCCCCGCGATTCCGCACTGTATTATGCGGAAGCCAAGCGGGATCGGGCCACCGTTTATGAAGTTAATCGGTGGCCCATTTTTCCATTTCGGGCAGGGCTGCATCCCTGCCCACCGCCGACCCCGACCGCCGACCGTATTGCAGCCGACCAGT